AATTGACTGTATTTTTCGAAAAAAATGGTGTGGAATTTAAATTAGTCACTGTAATAAAGAAGTAGTTCGATGAAGTGGTGGAACTATGTTACACATATGATTTCATATGTGTAACATAATTTCGTCACTTCATCGAACTACAGCTTTGAAACGACAACAGGACTGAATATATCGTAATTTTTTCTGAAAAATACAATCAATTAGCTTTAAAACAGTATCAAAATCATTGTGGGTTACATAGTACATATGGACAATAGAGATTTTCGAAAATAAAGATTTTTCATATGTTTTACTAGTAAAATTTCGTCTCGTACTTATTTATACTTTTGTCAGGGGGGTGTATATAAACTTTACTATAACGAGAATATTCGATATAGTAAATATTCCGTCCCGTCGACTTTACTATATCGAGTCTTGACTGTATATTGCTAGAACTGAGCAGAAAGAGAAAAAAAACCAACAATTATTATACCGATTAAATTGGATAGCCTTTGATCGTGCTATAAAATTATTACAACAAGGTTTTTGATAGCTTATTATAGTAATATTATATTAAATATAGTAGAGTTGTTCTCAGTTGTTAGTAGATTGACCTAAGCCTGCTTTGAGTTGCTGGCTTTTTAGATTTATCTCTCTGATAGTGAGGTCAAGGATGGGGAAAATGGGCGTTTATATAACTTTTCCATGTACTTGCTGATTACCATTTTCACTTTACAAGCTGCCATGGATCATAATAATAAGCACGACGGGCTGTATTATTTATATAAACGTGCGGTATTGGACAAGAGATTGTAGCACAGAAACATCATTAATATTAATGTTCATATTCTCCCCCACTCGCAATCCAGTTATTATCATGTATTATTATTAATATTATTTAGACGGAGAGAAATTTCAGAATTAGAATGCGATCTCGACCAAAATCGTACTCTCGTCTATAGCAGAAACTAATGCCTGTCGCTTCCGTTTTCCGCTCTCACTCCCTTGCCTATCTCCTATTCTCACTGTTATTCTTATCCAATCTCGTCGAATCGTATTTCTCGTCTACGCAACATAAACGTATTGATGGGGAACATTACGAACAACACAGGAATGTTATTGAATATAATAAGAGGGATGCAAATGGAACTTTGACGTGTAACGAACGAGAGGACATTTGTGATTTGGGCTATGATCAAGTGGTAAGTTTTGCAACAACTAAGCGATTGATATCCGCCTCTAGAAACGCTGTCAAGTCACTCTGTTAACTCATTCTTTCTTTAATATACTTATTTTATATTCTTCTGTCTTTTTCACATATTTGTTTAATTCTCCGATTTTGCTCCTTTACAGACTCATATAGGTACGCACAATAGCGGAGCGTATGATTTGGCCTTCGACTGCGACCAGATAGTCTCAACTTGCCTTGATTCATCAACCGCTTGCACCAAGCAGCTTTCCTCCTGTCTTGCTTCATATCCACTCTATTGCTCTGCGGCAGCATCGATCTGCAAACAATGGCATCCATCATGGTCGCATTTTTTCTGTGATGGATTCGATGCAATTTGTAAGAAGACAGATATGATGTGTTATTTGTGGGAAGGTATCTGCAGCGATACGACAAATGTGTGTGCATTATGGGGTAATGCGTGTGAGAACGGCCCACCGGAGTGGTTTTTGGGATGCCTGTGGGAGAATAATGCGGGTATGGATGTTATGAGACAGTTAGAGGATGGTGAGTGACACGATGCTTCTTGACGAAGAGAGTTAGAAGGTGTTGAGAAAGGAAATAATTAAATGACATTGAGAGGGTTTCCATACCTTAAAATATTTATCACGGCTTATGAATTTAATATATATCAATTCTTATCGTCTCAATATTTCATGTTTAATCATTTAGGAATACGTTATTTGGACTTGGATACATGCCAAACAAAAGACACGGTTGTCATCTGTCATGGAATGGGATTGCCGCGCGCCCTCGGACACTCGCTGGATGACGTTTTTTCTCTAATTAGATCCTTCCTACTCTCTCACCCAAACGAAGTCGTGTCCCTTGGATTTGGCGACTATGATGGCAATGCTACTTTTATTGCCTCGTTCATTCAGAGCAAGCTTTCGCAATATTTTACTTTTCCTAATGGCACCTCTCTCTTCTTGTCTCGCACTAATAATACTCAACCATGGCCTACCCTGCGTGAAATGATTGAGAGCAATCGCAGAGTTGTTGTCTGGTTCGAGTGGTTATATAATGATTTTGGGACTCAAAAGAGAGAAGATTGGATACACAGTTCGCAGTATTGGATGACTAAAAGCTATGATTACGCATATGCTGCGACGACTCCCCAAAAGTTGAATGAAAGTTTTGTGAATTGGTGTGGCAATGCTGATGAAGTGATAGCGAGCAATGTTGCGGACTTTGGGAGACTGAAGTGGCAGATTGTGGACGATGTGTATGTATTGTGTTTTGTTTGTTAGTAGAATTGGCAAATAATAAGGATGTGGACGATTTTTAATTTTTATGTCATTCTTCTCATTCTCACATCTATCCATATGGTGCGTTTTTTATATATATTTTTTGAAGCGTAAGTTATGATCCAGGCGAAATAGTTTCGTATCTGCAATCACGTACTCGTCCTTCTGAGATCTGTCTCCAATCACAAGCGAACCAGGTGAATTTCGGAACGCTCGATTTTTTTGCCGATTTCTGTGTGAAAAAGTTTGATTATATATTTCGAATTACTGTTGACTATTACTGGAAAAGCAATTTGTTTGAAGTAGCAAAGAAGTTGAATGACTGGAACGTGGAACGAGTGAAAGGATGGGTTTGAATTTATGACGTAAGAACTTTGTATAAAATATTAGTGAAATTATTTAAGAATGAATATAACGTAATAATGCGGCTAATTTTGGTGTATTTTATGATGTATTTGTAATGGTCTTGCACAATTGTATATCCAATTTCTTATAATTTTTAATAAACCACTTAATATTGTGTTAAAGTGACTCGATGTAATAATAATGAGCGATAGTGCTATTAATAAGCTTTGTTACCCCTTTTAGATGACCTGCTAAGTTTCGGCACAGAATGGTCAATTGGATTGGGATCTGTGCGAGCCATAAAGTGAAGTTAATAGTTTTCCACATTGCAACAATGGGCTTTTGGTAGACAATTTGCTTTACTCCAAATAATATTAACAACACAATCCCATTCTTCACACATTAGTATTAGGAATCAGGCAGGTCATAAAATCACTACATACTAATGTCGTCTCCTAATTTATTATTTCTCAATAAGAATGATCGTGACGCGTTAGCGTCTAGCTATACTTGTACTAAACGGGGTTATAGCAACGCCCAAGATTACAGAGTTTGTCAGTCATCCAGTTATTTGATTTCTTCAATCTTTCTCTGCTATGGGCGAGCAAAGTAAGATTCGGAGGAGAAAAGGCTTGGGTCCTCAAATATCTGTCTTCACATCGCGGAGACCATTCAAGTGTTCGGAGTCTTGTAGCTACCCAACGATTACTCCAGGCTCAAGAGCTGTCGATACGCTTACAAACTAACGATATCTGCTTGGTTACCTAAGCATTTTCGTTGAAAGATAATGTCTAATTGTAAACGCTTATCACATACTATGGTAATGGCTAGATCAATAAAAAGTTCGCAAACATCACATGCCTTCTGCAACTCTATCCCTCGAGACTAACAATTGTAGATCTGGTAAGAAAGAGGTTAAATCACATATCCTTTGTTTCCTTTTTGTAGATTTGAACATTGCATTAGTAGCAGCAGCCATCGTATATGCGGACGATATTAGTAGACACTACGAGGCGAGGGCCTCACCATCTTCTATCTACCTTACACACTGCGCTTAACTGCGGCAGAAGCTATTAATATTGATTGTTTCATTGTTATAATACAAATGCCCAATTGAGAAATACAGAACAAAGAATTATGTCGAAACCACATGATTGTTCAAGGATCTGGATGGAATTTTTATGTCCTTCAATCACTCATTGTCACTGATATTATCATCGAAAATGTTAAAACTACGCAGAGAACCAACGTGAACTTGTTCTCACAAAATCGAATTTCGTAACAAAACAAATTCACAAACTCGATAGCTATTAGTTGTGCGACAAGTTATACGATAATAACACCAGGTAGCGTATTTTCTAGGCTGAGTAAGCAATCTTACTTGACCATTTTGCTTAACCCGTTAGGTTTAGACTATGTGCATAATCGAGTTGCAATCTATTTGAACCCTTTTGAAGATAACACTAATTGGTTATATTGGTTCTACACAGGGCAAGCTTGATAAGAGACAGCAGTCATTCAGCAAAAGATAAATAGCAATATGGCAAATCCCAAGTCAAGAACCATTGTTGTATGCGGAGCTCCTGCCGTTGGTAGGTATAACTTTTTTCATTTACCGATAAGTTGTTTCTCCCCTATAGTAGGTAGGATAAACCGTACTTTATGATGCACAGGAAAATCATCCTTGACGATTCAGTTCGTTGAGAATCACTTTGTTGATTCTTATTATCCAACCATCCAAAGCGCTTACAATAAAGTCATCCGATTCCGCGGTCAAGAAATCGCTGCCGAAATCATTGACACTGCTGGACAAGTGAGCAATAAGCAATTATGATTTAGGATATGGTCAAGTCATAAGCTTGTTCCGACTTTCGTTCTACTTTATAATCATAGGATGAACATTCAATCTTGAGTTCGACGCACACGGTGGGAATACATGGTTATGTGCTCGTTTACTCCATCACATCCCGACAGAGTTTGGAGTTGGCCAAGCTTATCAGGGAAAAGATCTTAAATTTTAAGGGGACTGATTCGGTTCCGATGGTTCTTGTCGGTAACAAGACAGATTTGCATATGCAAAGGTAGACAGCGTATTCCATCCATGCTAAATGTTAAATATACAACGATCGCTTACTCGATGCCAACAACTATTTACAGACAGCTGACGCCAGAAGACGGTAGAGATCTAGCTTCAAAGTGGGGTTGCTCCTGGATAGAAGCCTCAGCGAAGCTTCATGAAACCACTAGTAAGGATTAATTATCTGGTTATCAAATATTCGAGTTATTATGCCCGAGCTTAACCGTCTTACCTTGCTCACCTCCATATAGCTAGAATATTTGATCTCATGATTGCTGAGATCGAAAAGTCAATCAATCCGGATGGGGATGGCCAGGGACAATGTAACTTTTTATAGATAGTCAACTTGCAAACGTTAGGGTCATGGTTAAAGTGAATCCTGTCTATTATTCAATCATTTATTACACAATACAAACTTCCATCTGAGTTAAATTCCAATAACTATTCTCAATTATTATAATTTATTTTCTATTCCTAATATATACTCTATGAAAGACTGAATGGTGCTATGTCTCCAGTAGTATTGTGAGGCGTAGTGCTGGCGCTCTGAGGAGCTGCTTGTATATCCGTCAGCATCGCCTTCAAGTCATTTAATCTTGATTTCAATTTGGGAACTTCAACCATCTTGTGTTCAAGCATCTGTTTCTCTTCTTGGAGTGCTAGGCGTCGTTCTGCATCTAGTTTTGTGAATACATAGCCACGCTGCCCATCATACTACACAATTAAGATACGAGCATACAGTGTGTTAGTTTGTAAGTACCAAAAATAAAAAAATAATAATAACATTCTCTCACGACTTATTTACCTGAAGAATAAAGTTGTGATATTTCCAGAGTGACGGACGATGCGAGACAGTTAAGAGCGAAATCCCGAGTTCTATACGAACCATTAATCAAATCAATATTAGTTTGGTTTAGAAAGAATTGTTTATCTATCGTATGATACATACCCGTCGCATGAGTGTACATGATTTTTTCAATCTCCATGCTCACCGCGCTGGTACCTAAGATGTCAATTGTGTCAATAGGATATTTCAAGATAGATAGTAGACTCAATGACACATTTTTAACTTACATTCATCTAAAATAGCATATCGTGGTTTGTGATAGAACAATCTTGCCATTGCAATCTGTATTAAGGGATCCCAGATAAATCATTAGTGGGGACAAAGAAAAAATATATATACACAGTAATTCTGGTTATAAATGACAAGTGGTTTGTAATATTAAACCAACATCTGGGTCAATGACACTTTTTTCACTGCCCGATGGTGTCGTTATAACCAGAGTCATATACATATATATCAACACTTACCCTTTGTTTATCACCGCCAGATAGAGCATCCTTCCATTCACGTTCTCTGTTCCACCCTCCTTCTCTCTCAACGATAGTGCCAAATTGAACAATGTCAAGAATCTTATGCAAATCATCATCCGTGATGTTGCCTAAATGTCAAAAATTGTAGTGTTATGTTATGTTAGGTTTTACTATTGTTTTAAAACGTCATCAGTAAAAATAATATTTACGCTTCTTCATGTCTTCAACTGTGTGGGGATATATAATTCTATACAAATTTAACATCGATTGTAATTAGATATTGCGCCATACACGGCAAAAAGTGATAATAATTAACATCTTACTGATCGCGTAAGGTACCAAGAGAAAGGTATGGACGTTGTGGAATGTAGAATATTTCTGAGGACTTTGGCTTACGAACAGTCCCACCTGAGTAGATAATAATATGCCAGCATCGGATGAGTTGATGAGCAAGCATGTGAAAACAAAGCGTTCGTTGACTGAGAATCATTACGTTGATAGCTATTCCTTCACTTACCATAAACAGGCCACAATCCACCCAAAATTCTAAACAAACTACTCTTTCCACAGCCATTAGGTCCAACAATCAACAGATGCATTCCAGGCTTAACATAAAATGTCAAGCTCTTCAAAAGTACATCACCATTAGGCGATACTATCGGTACATTTTTGAACTCTATGTCATCACCTTCTATCACTTGGCCACGTCCAGTCAGTACTTTTGCATTCTCCTCTGTAGACGCCTCAGAAACTAGCTGCTTCTCAAAGCGGCCAACTTTGACGTCATCAAAGACATCAAGTAACTCAGAGACCTTTATATTGATCAAATCACATCAGAATTAAGAAAATTAAGAACAGGATGGTAAAGTAAGGAATACATACGCGAGCAGTGAATCCAGCTAGCTCTGTGACTTCTTTGTATGAATACATAATACGACCGAAAGCATCAGAAGAGCTCAGCAACAATCTACGGTTAGTAACGAAGCCTATAAATAGCAAATGAGTTGGTGTTTGTCTTAAACAGATAACAGTCTACTTCCTTTCCTATTGCCGAACATTCATTAACCTACCTTCTGTTCTCTTTCCTAAATCGCCTCCTTTGGTTAATCCAGGTACATTAAAGAATACAGGTACTGCACATACTGCAAGACCAAGAGCGCCCCATAAATATTTGATAATAAAATCTTCCAACATTCCATGGAATATGCGCAACCGGAATATCCTGTTAATATGTTTAATAAGGGCGAAATAGCTCTTATCCAGGATGTATCTCTCTGTCGAATGACCAGAATAAAGAGCAATCTCTTCAGCATTCTCTATAAGGCGCGAGTGCGTGAATCTGAATTCGCCCTATACATGAGTTATAAAGTATTTGATAATAATTGTGATGAGCGTAAAATAAAATGCTAACGGTCATATACGTGTATGCTTAATTATTAAATCTGTAATCAATAGACACGATGCAAGTGTCCTACCTCCAATCTCTGCTCCTCAGCGACCATCTTTCCGAATGGTGGAGTCAAGGCTCTTAATAGCACTGAAGAGAAATGCACGGCCAATGAAAGCCCAAACAATCCTTCTCCTCCAACGTTCTTGGACAATTGGTAGTTATAAATGAACGTATCCAAAATTGGCTTAGCAAGATTACTATATAATTCAGCTAATGAATTACAGAATTTCATTGCATCAACAGTAATGCACCTGATTGAGTGAAAATAACGGATATTCAGTATGGTCAAAAAGAGTTTAGCTGTAAAAGAAACGTAAAAACAAGTAATACCCACTGATCGGCATTTTTTATTCGATCATCAAGATTACCGATGGTATAAAATGTCATATCACTCAAGTACTTATCATGGATATGGTTAGTAAGACGTGTTCTAAACTGTATCGCAAGTTTATTTTGCATATACGTGAGCTAGATAACAATGAATGGATAAAGTTAGTTCTTGTATATTCAACAGTCAAATATCCAATAACAATATGCTAATTACCATACTATTGGTATATGTCGCCGGTATAGCAACCATCATCCACCAGAACATTCCTTTCAAAAAATCTTTAGCGCTGCCTCTAACCTGATTTAAATTAAGAGATATTTAATAAACCGTTCTAACCAGCAAAAAATATGCAATAGAAGAAATCACGCTTACCAATGCACTGACGATGCGACCATCTAGTGCGGCTACGTATACTGACAGTACTGTACGAAATACTACAGAATGGAACAGCATCACATGAGAAAATATTTCAGATAGATTGTGTTTAAATACCCAAACATACCAAGAAAAGCTGAGTGAATAATCAACAGCCAGAACTCCTTGGACTTGTATCCAGGAATTACTATCTTCAAGAGCCTCCGTAACCTCTCGAAGAACACTTGATCAACCTATAAATCGCATGTAATACATATATAAACAACGCATTCAACCTCATCCATGTTCGCGCCAGTTGACGACTAACCTCAGCTTTCATCTTGCTACCCCCAGCATCTCGACGGCCTTTCCTCCTACGTCCACTTTCCTCGGGCGAAGGAGAACCCTTCCTCCGCCCATACAATGCGATCATTGCCGTGATCCATATCGCTCTGCCAAGTACTGTTCTGTTATTCATGTATATCTCCAAAATTTTCTGTAATAGCAGTCGTAGCTGGCTAATGGCCCTTGGCGAGCCATCAGCGAGCAGTTTTGAGAATACCGATGGCATATCGAAAATGATCGGTATGAGATTGGGGGAGGGACGAGCGATAAAACTTTTAACGAAAACCGAAGGTCGGTTTGAGATGATCAGTAGACTATTTGTATGTAACATCTCTAAAAATATATGGCGTAATGATTATCTGATTACAGGCCCTGAGTGGTAATCAAGCTATCCATAGTATGCCAAAGTGTAACCAATTTTAAAACTGGGATGGGAAAAGTCTCACACTATTGAATTTACTGTGTTTAACCTAGCAGACCATTGAATTTATATTCAAGCATATGCTGATAACATACGTGGTTAGGTTGTATTCTAGGCAACACTGTCAACTTATTAAGTAATACAAATACCAATATTCATTCTGTTACTTAAAGTAAAATACACGTAACCATCTGCCATGAAAAGTATTAATCTAGCTTTAGAATAATCATAATACAGTCATACGGTAGTGGGGTCTTCCCTAATGTTATTAACGGGTATGTTACTGATATCTGATGTATATCTAGAGCCAGTGAAAATAAAATACTTATATCCCCAAACTGATATGAGATTGGAAGCGAGAGGAGGGAAGGGAGACATTTGCATATATCGCAAAGGAAAGACGCCTAATTTTATCATGCCAATTTCCATTATAACTTTAGCACCTGCAATTTCTAATTACCATGTATCTTGGATGTGAATAGCGATAACGACAAGACCGACATCGATTTTGCGATGCATGGTATAGTTTAATGAAATCGAGTTAAAATTACGCTTGTGGTTCAACAATTGCGCCCTACCTGTTTATAAATTTATCGATGACCGGTGTGTTTAGTCATGGGTGCCAATAATTCATAATAACATGTCAGTAATGAATTAATCTAAACGTATTATTGAATGAATTCATTCACTAGGAGAAACTTCTTAAAAAAACGCGTCAAAATTAATCGCTTTTATAGGATTATTGTTCTATTCTTGAGCGTCCAACGAAAGTCTCTACCTCTTAGGAAATTGAAATAAGCCGGATAACCAATTTACGGAAGTAGTAGGAGTAACGTTGAGCCGTATATTAAGCAGACGCTGGAGTATGAGACCATACAAGAAAGAATAGCTCAATTCTCGGTAAAACATTAACACAGCAATATAAATGTGAATTTATGTAGAGAGGGCAATGCATGTGACAATGTTATCTGCATCTACATCTAAGCCATTCAGTCGATACGCTTAAACTTTTTAGTGGAAAATGACTGAATGACAAGAGCTTACCGAGCCTTATCATTGGAGGGTTGCTATTTGGTGAAAACGGTACAGCAACTCCTGTCACATACAACAGACAGAGATAGGCAACATCTTTTGAAATAGCTGTTCGAACCAATCGCCAGCAGATTACAATGCAAACGGTGTGAAACTGCTGTTAGTGAATTGACAATAAAACGAGCTTTGTATGAATCGGAGTATAATAGCCAAGTTGCTGCTCGAAACACACATACAGTGTGTAACGAAAATAATTGCCTTCGGACAATCGAAATTATTTTGTAAATAAACAAAGCGATGCGTTGTTTATCGTAAACGCGTCTTTATTTTTAATTAGTTACCATTTCAGTGAACGTGTTTTAAAGATATAAATTTCAGAACAACCCATTGTTTACTCTCCCGCCCTTTTACAATCATGGTCAACTCTAGACTAGAGGCACAGCGACAAACAATTCTCCATTACTGGCTTAGCGGCATCAAATCCGCAAAAGAGATACATCAAAAAACTAACATTCCTCTTCGTACTGTCACTTATAGCCTTAAAAAAAATTCAAGATACGAAAACGTTGAGCACAGAAAGGGGAATGGACGTCCTTCGAAGGTTACACAAAGTGTCGCTCGCGCCGTTGGACAATACGTGCATAGAAACTCTGCTGTCTCAACACGGCAACTTGCATTAAAGGTACAAAAAACACAAGAAATTTCAATTTCACATGCTGCTATTTGGCGGGATATGAAAAAAAAAAGATTACAAAAGCTCCGTACCTATTGGAACGCCGATGCTCACTGACCGTGTCGCTAATGAATTCATTGCTGAAAATGGGATTCGAGTTATAGACTGGCCATCCAATAGCCCAGACTTGAATCCCATTGAAAACATGTGGCACATGATAAAAAACAACGTTGAAAAACGTATGTCAAAAAATATTGAGGAATTGAAAAAGTTTATGGTTGAGAAATGGGATGCGATCTCGGATGAGACAGTGAATAATTTGGTGCTATCAATGGAAAATAGGTGTAAACTTGTTTTGAAGGAAAATGGTGATAGAATTTCATACTGAAAATTTTATGAGTAATAAAAGAGATGATAAGCTTTCTGGCAAATCCGAATTGTTTAATTATTTTACGTAATTGTTGAGTTACACAATTTTTTCTGAAGGCAATTATTTTCGTTACACACTGTTTTTGGTGAAAACAAGAAAGATCAATTACAGTGGGCTCGAAAACATTGAGAATGGACTGTAGATGATTGGAAAATAATGGTAATAATATTTTACATTCAATAGCACATTTTTGCGCTTGAATGAATGTAATTTGTGTAAATTTGTTATGTGGGTTGATTTTTTAAACATTTTAAACTTTTGGGTCGCATAATTTGAGTTGCATAACCTGATTTTAGCGTTTTCGTAGGATATAAGTCGGCTCTAGGTAAATTTGTATTGCAATTTTTTGCGTATATATTATAAATGGGCATGCTGCAACAAAACCTGATAGAGTGAACATTCTAGTATGTGACATGAATGAGAGCTGAAGGTTAACTAGTTTGGATGGTTTGATTACCACAGCTGTAACTTATACAAAAATTTATATCGTGACTAACATATTGAGATAAACTTTTGCCCAAAATTACAATATGCTTAATATTAATATAAGATCATCTCTATACAAAAATATAATATGAAATTAATTTACATTAAATCAACCATGGAACAGCACAATCAGAAGAAAAAACAGGGTGAAAAAATTGCCCTTTATGTTTTAAAATCAATAACACCCAAACTCTCTAGATAAAGAAAAAATCACTTATGAAATTTACCAAGAACGAAAAATAATAAACCATAAACGAACATTAACGTCAACTTATGATGAGCCAAAGAAGCGTAAGTAAATTTAACATAAAATCTTCTCACAAGGCCTCCACTGATCGAGCGACCTATCAACGAAAGATTGTTCCTCATTGTTATGATAAAGGACTGCTCAAGTGCATTCGTTAAGTTTGATTCGCATTTTGCTCTTTCGACACAATTGCAATCAAAGAGTCAAAAACAACGTAAAAATAATTCAGATTTTTCGTAAGCGTAAATTTTATTATTTTGATATGGAATGCACCAAAGTGATTGTATGGGAGGAAAATACTCGGACCCAAGCAATTTATGAGTATAACCTATTCTTTGGTCACTCTAGTGCAAATTTAAATTTCATTCTTCTTTGCTACAGTACTATCACTATTATTAATAACAATGTCCTTATTAATAATGTTATAATTTTTAGTAAACATCTGCACTGGTTTCAATTAAATTTCGGTCATATTTACAAATAATCTACTATTACTATGTCTGAGCCATAAAATCCTTTTATTATTATACAGTCACAATTATTGTGTAACATCGGGTGATTATCAGGAATTTACCTGCTACTGCAAGGTCGCACAACCCGACACGTCGTACAGTCCATAATATTTCTACTTATGGAGAAGCCATCTGAGGATTTACCTGCCAGGTCGCACAACCAGAAATGTCGTACAGCCCATAATATTCCTATTTATGGGAGGAGTGGGCATCTGAGCGTCCAATGAAAGGATAATATTTAAGCCTGTACGACATGTCAGATTGTGTGACCTGGCAGGTAAATTCCCGATTATCATCAGGTGCTAATTTTTTTATTACAAATCAAATCGTAGCAAATAATAATAATAGAAAATTAGCGGTAAGCACTTTATAAAGCCCGTTACATTATATCTACGTAGCACTTTCGATTTGTACATAAATGGGGAGATAATAATAATTAAAACATCCAATAACTATTTCGTTAATCTTTACACAATGTCCTTACTATTACAACGTCAAGAGCATTGATACTAAACGCAAAATTTGTAAAATGCGAAACAAAAATCTACTTTAAGGACATTGCCAACCAAAATTTCATCCAAAAAAGAATAATGGCTTTCGACAAAACAGAATCCGCTGTTAATCACATGACTATCAATGAATCAGTCACTCTCCTTAGAATCACTGATAATCTACAGTCACACAACCTGCCAAGTCGTACAGGCTTAAATATCATTCCTTTCATTGGACGCTCAGATGTCCATTCCTCCATAAATAGGAATATTATGGGTTGCACGATCTGTATGGTTGTGCGACCTGGCAGGCCATGAATAGAAATATTATGGACTGTACGACGTGTCGGGTTGTGCGACCTGGCAGGTAAATTCCTGATTATTGACTGTAGGTTTAATATTAATATACTTGTAATCCGTTCGATTAGATTAAGTACTGATACAGTTCGTAATGTTCATAGCAGGGCTATTGTTAATTATCGTTTTTATACTTGTTCTTTTTTGTGCTCGTGCCCCGAAGATAACTGAAATAACTGAAACCGAATCTTCAGTTACATTTTATTTGAAAAGAGCAAAAGGCTATCTTCGTTTGCGACAATTTACAGACGCCCTCCGCGATGCTGAGGCCATTCTTGCAAGAGATCCGCAGCATGCGAAAGCAGCATTATTCAAGGCCAAGGCTCTCATTGCACTTAAGAGGTACACAGAAGCGGTTGACACCTTGACTGAATTGAAGAAAGTTGTCAAAGAGTGCAATGGAGAGATCACTACCATTCTGCAGCATGCCAAAAAGCTAGTTATCGAGAGCAGAGATGGGAATTACAACATTGTCGACATTTTAGACGAACTCCCTCTTGAAGACCAAGATGGCGGCTCTTGTCTCAATTGTTATCTGGATCACGCAGACTACATTTCTGATGCTATCGAACTCCGAGACGTGGAATCGAAGGGCAAAGGTTGGTTTGCCAACCGAGAAATTTCGTCTAATACGGTAATAATGGCTGCTAAAGCATTTTCGGTTATTTATTCGCGTGAGATGCCTTTGCAGGTAAACATTCAACTATGCAATATGATTGCTAATCGCATCCTCATAGAACCAGAACTCGGATGTGAGGTGTACAAACTATACGCAGGTCCAGACCTCATTTCTTACTCAAAGATCGATAACGAATCGCGTCGTAAAGTAGATTATCATAGGATACTCAGAATTATTGATTACAATTCGTTTAACCCTTTTGATATGTTCCGCTACTTCAACGACCAAAGTAATACGGCCTCCGATTGTGGAAGAGGATTGTGGATTGCACCTTCATTTTTCAACCACACATGCGTAGACAATAACATATCCAAAATTTTCCTTGGCGACTTCATGTTCCTCCGTACCAACCGCGACATCCATATGGGCGAAGAACTTACCATCCAATATAAGTCCCCTTTGGACCCTGAGCGGTCAAAGAAACTTCGGTTGTATGGGATCAATTGTCAGTGCCGACTTTGCCAGCTCGAGAGCTCCGAATCGCCAGCTGTTTCTCAACGTCGTGTTAAGCTCCTCAAAAAGTTTGATAAAACCATCTTACCTCGCTTAAAACTTCTTTTTTCTGGCAAAAATGTTTCTGATCGTTCCCTTCTCAAAGACCTTACTCGCCTTACCGCAGAATTGCGTGGCCTACGCAACAACAACCAGGATCTTGACTTCCCATCAATTCAAATACGACACTGTCTAACTGAACTTCTGTGCTTCCTTGGAAAACGTGTTACGGCGGCCGATGAACTGTCTCAGCTATACCGCTTTCTTTTGCGGCACGATGCAGTGTTATCTTGTAAAGTGGCATACGAGCTAGCGATCCTCTCTGCCGCAGTAATCACTCAAGATATTGACTGGAGCGCTATGTGGTTTGAGGAGCTGAGAAGGTTATTATACATAGAAGATAAGAAGAAAAACTATGGCGAAGCCCAACACGCAGATATCACAAAGATTGCCCAAAAGTTTTTTAAGCAAGTAGTGTTGATATAACGAAACTATTAGTATTGAAACAAGTCGGCGGAATTTTTCCAGTCTGCTTAAACCGTGACGGCTTACATTTTTACAAAAGAAGGAATTCTCAAATACTGTATATACGTCTTCGTTACTTGTTAGTCTTAACATAATGAAAGTTGGACGAAGAACTATGTATATCAACTAATATATTAATATGTAAACCAAAATCTAAATAAATAAATTATTTTTTTATGTTGCAATGAACAAAATAATATGATAATTTGGATCCGCCAAAGGATCGATTTCGGGTGTACTGAGAAAAAGAAAATATGGTTGTGCGCTTCTAATCAATATTATTATAACAATTAAGATCATCTGATTTAATAAATTTAATTTACGCGCCTCCCTCAATTTAATCAGTTTAACTTTTTGTGAGGAAATATCAATTTTGATGTAATTGATGTTCATTCATCATTTTATTAGCAACAAAATAGCGAAATTAAATTTGCACAGCGTGGCCAAAGAAATAGTTATACTCACTAATTAATGGCTCTGGGTCCGAGCATTTCCCTCTGTTCTTTTGTGTTGTTTATTATTTTTCGTTCTTCTTGGTAAATTTCATAAGTGATTTTTCTTTATCTAGCTATTCCTGGAGAGTTTGGGTATCGTTGATTCTAAAAAAATATGGAGCAATGTTTCCTCCTTGAGCTTGCTTTAGAATGCTTCCAATAGTGCTGTAATTTTTTTGTTCCATAGTGGATTTAATATAGATTAGTTTCATATATTTCATTTTTATATAGAGGTAAACCTATATGAAATATATTACTAGTATAACGATAACTGCAAGTAAACATTTACCTCAACCAGATTACATTTTGACCAAATTAATACAAGATCTAAAATTTATCCGTGAATTCAGACATGAGCTACAGAAAAAAATCAGCCATTTTAGCCAATTTTACAGCCACACTAACATTAGCAATTCTTTAGCTCACATAATAAAATGTTCACTTTGTTTGGTTTTGTTGCAGTCTACCCCGTACAAGGTGCATTAAATTCAGTGGTAATTTTATTGCTCGTTATGTCAATATTTGCATATTTAATCGCAAATTTAGGGGGTATCGGTGACTCATACAGTATATCGTAGCAGACTTTTTTCTACAAAACGTAGCAATAATAATGAGTAAAATAAACCGTTATTTTATTATGTCCGATAGTTTAACAAAGAAATTTCCGTAACGTATAAATCCATTAATTTATTACCCAAAATATGTGCCTTAGTAAAAATGTTGTCTTTATATAAATGTAAAACAAAAACTAGATGTTTTTTTTAGAATTAACGATAGTCTATATGGTCCAAATTTTAGAATATTTACATCATTACTTGTTGAGTAATTTAAATTTAATCTCATTTTTATTGATTGTTGTATACCTTTGGTAGGCTAGTGTACTTAATAATAATAATAATAAACAAGAAAATTATAGTCAACGTAATAATAGAACTCAAACGGAGAATAAAGAATTATTAGAAGAAATAGCCAATATCAATGAAAAAAGAAGAAGAATTGAAGAATTAAATCCGACACATTACTGGTCAGTCTGAGAGAGGAAATGGTATCTATGCTCCTGCTGGTATTGATGATACAAGAAACTAAATTAAAAATAAATGGCTGAAAATTTTAATAAAACTAGAGGATCTAAAGGTTGTAAGAGAGTCTGATTTGATAACATTACGATTGAAGACATGTTAGGATAGTTCAAATGAATTAGATTCTACTTGCGATCATTATATTTCATAGTCAAATAAGAAGTAAGACGTTGATACTCTGTCTTCTTCAGTAACTGTTCTAGCGGTATTCTTATTAAAGGCTTGATTGTGGCAAGATAATTTATTTTGGATATCAGACTATTATTATTATGGAATGCATGACGAAGAGGGGTCAAAGTTTAGGTTGAGAAAATTTATCTAATCTTTTCTATAATAATAAAGTTGTTAGCAAAAAATTGAGACATCTCTAAACGACGGATAATGAGAACTGTAGACACGCCTTTTTACGGTCTAAACTGCTTGTTTCATATTTATTTTACATTTCGGTATTGTCTTCTTCCAAATGTAGAAAATATATCTTTGACAGATACGGTTGTAATTTACGTACACGTATGGAAACTATACTTAACGTGTTGAAATTCGCCTCCCGATAATTGCAACCTTCAATCCCGGTTTCCGTGTTACGAGCCGTGGCGCAAAATAAGCGGAAACACGTTACAGTTTTACCATTCGATTTTTACACCAGTAGAAACTAAAATCGAATTAGTTGAGGTTGTTAGACGCCAATAGACACCAGGGAAAATAGATTAGTTAAACTTTCACGTCCATGCGCTGTGAACAGAGTTAGAGCATGTCCAAACAGTTTTGAATAAACATGAGACGCGTGCATAAAATAGAGATATATAATAACAATTATGCTTCTCATATTTGCGTACATATTTTCGATCACAAAATAAGGATGCGGTTTACTTTTTTTGTACTTTTTTGACTATGGCATCAGCATGCATGAAAGGCACACTAAGTGTTTGATCGGAGCGCTAGGGGTAGGCAGTCCAAAGCTTGTCTCGGAATATAATAACTCCGGCCCTCGCATCATTATAACTGTATTGCTATTACAAATTTCTCTTCTACTGCAACTTGAAAAAATGATTCTTCTCGCCCAGTGCGACCAGCATAGCAATCGAAGATTTACGCGATTACACCTATATCGTAGAAGAAACTTCTTCGTGCAGCTGACGTACGTCTTAATAAAACAAGACTAATGTTGTGTCACATAAGTTAGGCTGAGATGGATCGAATTTATTATACAAAAGTACAAGACTACCGTGACTGCTAAGCACAATGTATTAATCTACGGAACGGATCACAGTGAGATACTTTCATTATCTGTCGTCACTACGTTTACACAAGTAGTATTTGTATTTACATAAAATTTTTTTGTTGTATAGCATTTTGTCTTGTAACTAAAACTTTTGTCCTTCTCAAATTTTTCTTGATAAAAGAAATGATACATATTTACATCCTGCTGACCTATAAAGTACGTAAAGTCTAAACATTAACTATTGTTTAAACTTTTTGTGGTATACGAAAATAACAAATATATATAAGAAAAAAAATAAAAGGCGTGCAAGAAAAAAGATAATCCAGCAACGAGAAAGAGGTCTTTTTTAAGAAGAGAGAAAAAAAATGAGCCGAGAATAATAAATAGCAGTAAATAATGAGAAAAAAACTTAACTCGCTTATAATGACCTAATCCCCTATACTTGCTTGGCTCAGAACATATACTTGATATTTTTAGCGACAAAGAGAGTCGTTTGAGGGTCGGGGGTGGGAATAAAAGGCTTGCCAGCAGCTCTGTGAGCATCATCGCTAGCCTTGCTATAGGCCTCGCACCCTGTCTTAAGCCACTTAACTGCTGTTCCACATGTTTTTGCGCCGTCAAGAGCACCACCAGCAATTCCATCGACGCCAGCGTCTATTGCCATCCCTCGGTAAAAACTACCCGCTTTCTTTAAGCCTTCAATATCCATAGCGTCGCCGGCAATTTCCATCCCGAGGCCAGTTACTCCTCCGACAATCGTCATTGGGCCAGTTATTGCGGCGGCAGGAGTAAAATAACTAACGGCAAGAGCGACCGAACCCACTTTTTGTAAAACTTCAAAGGCCACATCTTCTCCCGATTGACTATTTCCCATGGCGAGAGGATAAATAAAAAAGAGTTTTTGATAGAGAGAGTTTTATATCTTGGAACGTAATGACCACAAAGGCAAGGAGCCAACTAAGCAAAAGCACTCTCTTTTTATGACAAAATCCCTCATTATGGCTTTTTTCGAAGCGCGGGATAGTTGACATACTGGTAACATTGTTGTCGGTGCACAACAAGAACCCTTCTTCCCACGACATAGTTATTGTTAGTATTAGTCTGTCGTTGTTGCAGTACTCCCATATGAAGTAACACATAGACACATCATGTGTGCACAAGTAGGGGTCTATCGATGCAACCTAAAGTCATCAATTACGGCCGAGCTAGACCATTTCAGGTTTAATTGAAAACTGACGTGGGAAATTCGTCGATCACAAGACATCTCATTCTCTTGCTCATAAACACAGACAATATCTTTATTACATCAGTAGACCGCCACACAACAATACCAACACATTGTGCTATTTTCTATAGCGTTACCATGTCTGAGGATTTATACAGTTCTAGTCCTCTATCAGAAGATGGTTTTAATATCGGTGGTAGGTCAACTACACCGGAACATACGAGTTTGAACAAGATGACGTCGCCTTACTATTCATATCATGTTGATAAGACAATACAGAAGGTAAACCAGTTTTGATTAAAAAAGCATAGAGCCGCACAATGGCTAAAGAATGTATCACCCTGCCATGGGAAAATACACATGCTGTTCCCATTGTACGAGTGATTTAAATAATAGAATACTCTAGTATTTTTCCCGATGATACTCTTGAAAGCAAGAACTAGAACTAAGCATTAACTTGTTCTTATCCTGTAACACTGTCAAAACTACACCATTCCCCGTTATCCTTTCTTACTTAGCACGATTCCCATTATTGGGCCAGACAATTTTCAATCCCGTCTCCTCGAACGGAGTTACCTGCCAATACCTCTTTTGAAACCCCCACCACACCGCAATCTGCCAAAGTGCCATCCCGCGCCACTACTCCCATCGTTGAGGTTGAGAACGAAAGTCTCCGTGAGCTTCGTACCATCTACACGAATTTCCAGAAATGTCTGGATTTGCGTGACAAGTATATGATGTTGTCGTTGCAGAGATTGGGCGATAATCCAAAGGATGCGGACGGTTGGAAGATTTATCCACCTCCGCCCCAGCCGACTTGGCCGCATCATGGATCGATCGATGTTGGAAATGACGATAACGACAACAGCTTGGAGGAGGAAAAGAAGGAAAAGAAGCAAGTTGGAGAGGATTTTAACTTTGAGAATTGCGAGATTCCTGGTGCCGATAAGGTACGACATAGGGAATCAGATATTTGTCGAGTTCTATGAAAGATGGTATAAATCTCATGTCATGTTTTTTTTAGCGCTTATTTGAACTTGACGCGACCGGTGTTTACAGAGTTTACGAAAACGAAGATGGTAATCGAGGCTAATTTACTCTCTGTATGCTATCTCACGTATTTAACCCTTTTCTTCTTGCAAACTTTTTGAATTATCTTAGATATACACAATAACAAACCGGCATACAGCGTTCCAAGTATCAAGGAATACTTTGTGGACTTGGACTACATTCTTGATGTGATATCTGATGGACCAGCGAAGAGTTTTGCATACAGAAGGTTGCAGATTTTGGAGAGTAAATGGAATATGCATGTCTTACTGCACGAATATGAGGAAATCGCTGAGACAAAGGTATGAGATTTATACAAAGGAGCAGTACGTCAATTCTTCTGGCGTATGGTCATACGCGCGCATGTATGTACGCACATTTTAAATCTCAAACTTATTTCCCCGACTTTACTCGACTCACAGGGAGTTCCACATAGAGACTTCTACAATGTACGAAAAGTTGATACACATGTGCACTTATCCTCGTGTATGAACTCCAAACACCTTTTACGTTTTATCAAATCCAAATTAAAGAAGTACCCTAATGTGATTATTCAATATTTCATCCAACTGTTTTTACTTTCCATACGAATATGACTTTGACTTGATTCTGTTTCATACTTGGCATTTGGTAGGATAAAGTCATTGTTAGGGATGACAAGCTGCTTACGTTGACAGAAGTGTTTGATAGTTTACATCTGCGCGCTTATGATTTGAGTATTGATACATTGGACGTGCACGTAAGTTGTTTTATTCTTTTTTTAGCATGTGAGTGATGTTTACAAGATACTGTATTTAAGTGTGCTAATAGTAGAAATGGCTAAAGGAAAGGCGGAAAGGTGAAAACGCTATACTGTTTTAGAAGCCCCGTGGTGATGGCAATTGTTTTCTAAATAGTTTTGCTAATTTATTAACCGGAGATAGCGTTTGTCTTTATCCTTTGTTTTCTTAGGCACACACCGACTCTTTTCATAGATTTGACAAATTCAATCTCAAGTATAATCCAATTGGGGAATCTCGCTTGAGAGAGATTTTCCTGAAGACTGATAATTATATCGAAGGCCGATACTTTGCGGAATTGACCAAAGGTGATATTGTGTACAGTATGATGAAAGGGTGAGATTGTAAACTACTCGATGCTTATACTCTCAAACGCTTTCAATGATAGAGGTCATTTCCGACTTGGAATCGAGCAAGTATCAAATGGCAGAATATCGAGCATCGATATACGGACGGTATGAATCAGTAATCGCAATATTTGCATATTCGTGGCACCACCTTTTATTTTCGACAGCTAAAACCTTGAACGCGACTCTTTAGGAAAAAGTCAGAATGGGATAAGCTTGCCAAATGGGTTGTAAATAACAAAGTATTATCGCATAATGTTCGCTGGTTAATTCAGACGCCTCGTTTGTATAACATCTACAAGAACGGCAAGACAGTCGAGAACTTCGAAGATGTCATTAAGAGTATGTTATGGGTGATCGATATCTGCTTTTTAGTTTTTGTTGGAACACCCGATGCTTTAACCATATTCCTATATATTCCTACAATTATTGTCATATAGACATCTATGAACCACTATATGAGGTGACGAAAGATCCAAGCACGCATCCTGAGCTCCACGTGTTTCTACAACGAGTTGTCGGTTTTGACAGCGTTGACGATGAGTCTAAAGCCGAGCGGCGCATTTATAAGAAATACCCATACCCTAAAGATTGGAATACAAATTTGAATCCTCCCTATTCGTATTATCTGTACTATATGTATGCAAACATGGTTAGTCTCAATAATTGGCGAAAGAAGAGAGGATTCAGTAAGTATTTACCAGCAAATATCGGAAGGAAGCTGAAGTTCTTTGAATTTACGAAAAGTGTAGATGTTGGATGATAGTGGAACATTTATAACTAACGTCGTTTAACGCGTATTATTCCAAACCAAAGATACATTTGTCCTTCGTCCTCATGCGGGAGAAGCGGGCGATACTGATCATTTGACATCCGCTTTCCTTACTTCTCAATCCATCTCTCATGGCATTCTCCTTCGTAAAGTACCTGGTTTGCAATATCTTTACTACATCAAGCAGATCGGCATTGCAATGTCTCCTTTATCCAACAATGCTTTATTCTTGAACTATGAGCGGAATCCATTCTTGAACTTCTTCCAGAAAGGCTTAAATATCAGTCTGAGTACCGACGATCCATTGCAGTTTCATTACACTAAAGAGCCACTGATTGAAGAATATAGTGTCGCTGCACAGGTAGGAACTTGAGAGTTGATTACTGGTCATTCGCGTGATTTTAACTTTTCGTGGCTATCTTGTAGATATGGAAATTGTCCGCTGTCGATATGTGTGAGCTTGCGCGCAATTCGGTGATTCAAAGTGGATGGGAAATGTCTATTAAGAAGCACTGGCTAGGTGCAAACTGGTTTTTGCCTACACCCATGGGAAATGGTACGTTAATTTCGATTATTGCCGGAAGCGAGCAAGCGATCATAATTACTAGAGCATATTGCGTTCGGGTCCTTGACGATTATCACTCATTTGTTAACTTCGTTATTGATTAGACGTGAGCAAGACCAACGTTCCTAATAGTCGTATCAGCTATCGCTTCAATACGCTGCTCGAAGAAATAGACATGATCAAGAAATACTCTAGTCTTAATAAAGACACCTCGTTTGAACGAAACACCATAACCAAACCATTCCAATCCGCGTCGGCTGCTCGTGAGGATCGTGTGCACGCAAGACCAACAAACGGTTGGACTACAGAGTTGAAGATTATTCCCGGTATCGGAATGTTTAGTGAATCGCAGGAATCTAAGAGGAGAGAGAGTAAGAAAATTTTATAAGTTTTTTAAGCATCCTCGAGAATGTTTACTTACTTTCTTTTGTGCATATTACACAAACACTAGCGGCTTTAATATGAAGACTTACGTGACACCTTGAGATGCAAAAAATTATGTGGACTTTTAGTGCTTGCACCAACACGTGAACCTCTCCGGTGGAAATTTACATCACTATCATAGATTTACAACGTTAGATCTTCAGGCTTAAACGCATAGAATTTACTCCAAGTCTGTGTTAGAATACACCATCTCACAATAATTTTCTGCTTCTCTATATTTACTAATTAATGACTTATTTGCTCGGTTGAGCGATGTATAAATACGACTCTACTGATGTAATAGCAGATAGTGATGAGAATTACTTGGTTTTGTTAATTAATTAATCAATGAAATTTAGACTATTCAGAAACTATTGATTCGATGATAAAATGGCTCAGACGGAAGAGATATAATTGTCTACAACTAATGAACATTACTGCATCGGAGTGGAATTTCTTTTCTGATAAAAAAACTAAACAAAAAAAATAATTCAATTCGTAAATTTAGAATCAAATTTTTAGGCATGAGTTTAGGAACTAGTTATAGATAACATGCTTATTAACCAAAACGTATATTCATCATCCGACTTTGTTGTCACTAAGATTTAACCAGGTGACCAAACTTCTATATTGGTAATGTAGTTAATATATTTTATTATTATTATGTTTATTATTCATAAAAAATAATACGTAAATCCCGTCACTATGTAAATGCGGTTTTGGACGGGTTTTGTGGACCCCAAACGGGATTTACATAGTAATGATGGGATTTACATACGACATATACAATAACATCGAAATGACCAAAATTAAAAGTAAAAATAGTTGCCAAAGATCATCAATGTCTGATCTTAATCGTTGAACTTCAAGACGAATTTCAACAACGTCTAATATTAGCTGTTGATATTCTCGACGAGCTTCAACAAGCTGTTGGTTTTCTGTGATAGTGGCATTCTTTTTAGCTTCAACTATTCTCTTTATATCTGAGACTATACTATTTTTATAAGATAATATAATCTCAAATTGAGGATTTTTTTCTGCCTCTTCGAATGCACCATCACTAAACCCAGGATCAACCACCAAGATCCCAACCGTACCAGGGGTACGCTCGACAAGCACCTCTATCAACTCTCGTACTGCTCCAGGACCTAGATAAGAAATAAAATCGTATTCTAGTTATGCAGTTATTTTATTCAGTTAACATTAATAGCTACCTATATTCTCCTGTTCTCGGAATTCACATTGTATGACTATATTAACGTACGGGGTGTTTATATGAATGTCTACTCTGCCGTCACCACCATTTGGACCACTAAAGAATAAAAATATGAGTAATTGCATCATCACAGTCAGGGACTGTAACTTTCACAAGTTGTGGCCACGAAGCGCTTTCCGGATACATAACTATTTAACAAATACTCAGTGAAGAACTTTCACCTCGTTGTAAATGGCTTCAAGCCTGCATCTTTCAGGATACTGTACACGATAATTTCGAATAACACCCCTTTTTCCTTCGAGTTTTCCATTTGAATTAATGAATAGAATGGATACCTTGAATGTTTAATGAATAATAAAATGTTTAATAAATTAAATTGTTACACAAGCTACCGAAGTCAAAGTTCATACGAAAACGTAAAGAGAAGACACTCTATGGTTGCTTTAATGGGTTTGCATATTATACCAGCTTGAGATTTAGGCAAAATAGTGGCGGCCAGCATTTTAGTGGCTTCCTTTAACCTAATTTAATGCAAATATAAAAGCTTTTTTACATCAACAGATTCAGGCAAAATTATATTTTTCGATTTATGATTCAAGTTTTATAGTCTATTCAAATCAAACTGAGAATATTATAATAAAACGCAAATCTAAAAACAAAGGTATTTTTAACCCGCCCGACGTATTAAGTGAAAGAAGAAAACAATAATACGTTTACATATTAGCATATTGTAAAGATTGAACTCACATTTTTTTTGTTTAGACCTCCTTTCCTTTTTATTATCTTTTGCAATGATCAACACCAAACGTAAACGGCCTTTCGATCTTAAAGTTATGCTATAGATTGGATCTGATGCGTTTATTTAGTATTGTCAAGTAGTACACAGTGAACTTGGATATAACGAAGTGGTCCGTTCCAACCTTTTTCTTCGTTATATCCAGGTTTTCGTTATATCCGGGAAGGAAATTCTATTAGACAAGGTTTTGGGACATCGAAAAAACTGAAATTCGTTTTATCCAGGTTTCGTTATATCCAGGTTCACTGTGTATGTAAAACGTTATCAGCCTAACGCGTTAATATTAATATATTAACTCTAAACACATGAACAGGATCACGCAAATAATAATTTATTTACCAATCAAAGAAAGACAGTTAAACGAGAACAAGAAAAATCCAATGAATTGCTTATACACACACAGCGAACCCGGATATAACGAAGGAGACGGTGCTGGCACTTTTCTTCGATCCGGGTTTCATATGTCGATGTATATGTTAATATATATACAGTATATCTAATTATGGTAATACACAGAACAAACCGTTCTGGAAGACTTTAACGGCAACGCGATAGCTTGATCGAATTATTCAAATTTCGTGCACTGCTACTAAATCTTCCTATGTCTTTAAAAATTATCGCTTGATAAACGTGAGTGGTTATATCCCCATTATCAGTATTCCGGTTCGTTAAAAAAACTCTAACTACTGAAACCAGGTCTCAGTTGGACTCTCGCTTTATTGAAGATCTGCCTCTTCTCCTTATCCAAAATATTCACTCCGACCAGTGGGAAGAAACATATCTCAACAACTTGTGCTTCATCCTCTCCGTCATCATCTTGAGCACATTCCATCGTAGCGGGATCGAACTTGGTCCCACTCTCGAAAAAGTGATACTCAACA